GTCTGTTGCTGATCGTGTCGGCTCGTGGTCAGGTCAGGCCACCATGCTGGATCCTGGGTATGGCGTCCAGGGTCAACTCGCCAGGGTCGGCAGGCAACATTTCATACCGAAACAACAGAAAAAGAAAGCATTGCGCAGTAACAACGTAGTGGAGTCAAAAGAGGACGCCATGTGGCCTGCGACTGGAGAATCGATGCACACTCGCATCCATGCAGCGTTGCAATCAAGAGAGGGGAAGGGCAAAGACAAGACGAGAGGTGCGACAGAGCGAACTGTCGGCTTAGATGTATGGATAGTTAAGGGCGGCGTTTCAAAGACAGACCGGCCATGGCAATAAAGTGACAAGACGCGGCCACGACATGACCAGTCAGTTTGGTCAGTTCGAATACGACATCCAAGACAAGCTGATTACTCTGTTTTTCTACGTCGTATTCCATAGCGTGCGCTTCCTCCCATGCAACGCTTTTCTAAAGCGTGGGGTTTGTCTTTCCACCAGTCTCCTTTGATTTGTTCTAATTGGATTTTTTTTGCATCCAGCCCACTTCTGCAGTCGGCACAAACCACGCAAAAACCTTCTCAAGCGCCTTTCCTCCGTCTGCTTGTCTTACACGGATTTGAGGCGACGGGGCGGGCCTATTTTAGACGTTCGTTTCTCGCGCGCCCGTGTCGATCACCGGAGCCTTATTTCAGCTTCATCCATGCCAACAAACTCGTCTCGTCTCGTCGGATACTGCCGTTTTTCACTTTGACCATGTCGCTTTTTTGTGTCTCCGACGTCGGACACCTTTATACTTTTAATGCTATTTCTTGACACAACTTCAACTCGCATCTTGTTCGCCTCTTTTTTCCTTCTGCCTCGCCCCCTCCCGCGTCGTATTGTCGTGTTTGCCGGGATTATGTGCCATGTAGTTTCAACAACTGCTTGCCAGTTTTATTTTCTTTTTCCTCCCCCTTTTCCATCGTTACGCCAATGTAACGCTCGTCTATTTTGTGGCTTCCACGTATGCCGTACGCAATTAAAATGCTGCAGAGTTTTCCAACTTGTCAACAACCACGTTGTCAAGTCTTCCTTTCGCCCTCTCTTTTATCATTTCGCCGTTCGTCGTATATTATCACACATAATACACACATAATACACTCATCTTCCCTGCTTTCAGCTGTCCTGCCTCCCGCACAGTAATACATGACATAAACATCAATGCTTGTATCCAACGCCGTCGTATCCCAGCGTCGTATTCGCCAATGGCCCATGCTTCGTTTTACCCTACCACGTTCTTAATAGCGTCCTGGCACCTACCTAGCCAGTCCAAACGTCGTGGGGGCGATGCTCTCTGGCTCCGTACCAAAGGAAAAGAAAACGAAGCCAGCGTCACTATGTGCTCCATTTTCATGGCAGAGGGAGGTGGTGAGGCGGAGTCGACTGCACACCAGTTCAGAGGGAGCTAGAGTCCAACGTCGCTGTTCCTTTCACGTGCTGCATCTCAAGTTGTAGAAGAAGCATTGACGTGTTGGATCGACTCCATGTAAACAAAGTAGACCTAAACAGCTAAAAACCTTCTCAACCCCCCTCCTGTCATCCATTTTTTCTGCTCGTCCGTCTTTTTTGCTTTCATATGCTCGTCACTTGTTTCCTTTTGGTTCATTCGGCATTTGCAGCCCCGACACTTGTCTGTTTCTCGGTCACATTGCGGTTGCGAGCAAGACGATGCTCGATGCGTCCGTCACACGCGACGACTCTCGCTGGCATATTAATCCTGCGCGACATCTAGACGTCACGCCAGAGCAAGAAATGAATAATTAGCATGATGCACCTGACTTGGTCAGGACCGTGGTGAGGTCGAGGCGAATCAGCAGCGTTGATGCGAGATTGTCAACATGTCCAACAGATTTTGTGTTTGTCCAATGACCTCGTGATGACTGCTTCCCTATTTCACACCAATGAGAGGCGCCTTGCAAAGGAGTGGAGCGCGCAAAGGTGAACCGCTGGCGGAGACAGCATCTCCGCGGACAGACGTCGGATTTATCAGCTGTGGTGGTGATGTTGTTGTCATTTCTAGTCATGTAGTCATGGATATATTGTACAAAGTCGTCTCCGAATTGCGTCTCGAGGTCGGTTTCGCCAAGACCATTATGCAATACGATTTGGACGAATCGCAGGCCACAAGTTGCATTGGTGAGATGTGAGATGCCAGTCCAGGTGGCATTTGTGTCTACGAAATAGTTTATGGCACTGACGTATATAAGGCCGTAAGTCATACCAAAATGACGAATCTACCATGAAAAGGCTTTGTACGCGACATTGGATCGTCGACGAGACATTCTACGCGACCATGCAATGCCAACGAGGCCTTCTACGCGAACATGGAACAGGGACATTCACAATTGGGTTCGAGTCGAGCCCATGGCCCTGTATAAAATGCATCACGACCGGATCGGTCCAGATACTGAGGACTGATCGGCCAGTCTCAAAGGGCCACCGTTAAAACTTGAATGTTCCCAGACACTCTGTTCCGTTCTACAACCAACCCAAAGTGAATCGACATACCTTTGCAGCGATGCCGACCGTGCTTTGGAGTGTCAGCTCCTCCTCGACCGCCACCGGCAATGCCGCCACCGACAATGAACCGGCCAACTCGAGCTCGGGCGACGACAAGACACCGCAGCTGACGGTCCGCGAAGTGCCACCGCAGTTTCCCATCAGCGAACAGCCACTGGGCGAGCCCATTTCCAGGAAACGGACCTTCTTCTGGCGCAAGTCGGAACCGCTGGACCTCGACGCGATTGCGACGCAGCCGTCCGTGTTTGACGATCCCAAGCTGGCCATTGAGTACCGGCCCCGAGCGGACTGGGAGAACATCCACCGGTTCGATCCGTCGGTGCGGTGGACGTGGCGGGAAGAGAAAGTAGGCCCTCTTCTGCCTTCTTTCGGTCCTGTCTTCAAGCTCCTCTTTTTTTGACACTCTTCGCCGCAGGCTCTGGTCCGCAAGATTGATTTGCGCATTTTCGTCTTTACGTGTGTTGCCTTTATGGCGCTGGAGATTGACCGCGCCAATCTCTCACAGGCGCTGACAAACAACTTCTTGACGGACCTCCATCTCACCACGAACGGTGTGTGTTAATAATGCCCCCTTTGTCATCCTTTGTGTGCAACTTCGAATGCTCATCTCACTTCAACAGATTACAATCTGGGCAATTCGGTCTTTTCGCTGTCCTTTATGTGTGCCGAGATCCCATCACAGCTGATTTCGAAATGGTATGTTGACGCAACAGGGGAAGTTCACGTTCATGTCACGTTCGTGTTCATATCTAATGCAACTCCAAACACAAACAGGATGGGACCCGATCGGTGGATTCCGCTGCAAATGATCTTGTGGAGCATTGTCGCTGCGAGCCAGTACAAGCTCAGTGGCCGCACGTCGTTCCTCGTCACGCGCTCCTTGCTGGCCATCCTCCAGGGCGGATTCATTCCAGACGTGCGTACCGTACTCCGCGTCTCGTGCCTCCCACGACGTAGTCGCACGACACTGCTAACAGCAGCACAACAGATGAACCTCTTCATGTCCTACTTCTACACGAGCGCCGAGCTGCCCGTGCGGCTGTCGATTTGGTGGACGGCCGAGACGAGCGCCATCGTGCTCGGCTCCTTCATGGCGTTTGGCATCCTGCACATTGACGGCGTCCGGGGCGTCGAGGGCTGGCGGTGGCTGTTCCTCATCGAAGGCCTCATCACGCTGGCCGTCGGCGTGTCGGCGTTTTACTTTATGCCTCCGAGTCCGACACAGACGCGCGGGTTTCCGCGCGGCAAGAAGGGCTGGTTCACCGAACGGTATGTCTTTTGTTGAACGGAACAGATTCGAGACGAGGACTAGCAAGTTGACATGACACAGAGAGGAATACATCATCATCAACAGAGCCATTCGCGACGACCCGTCCAAGGGCACGATGCACAACAGACAGGCGATTACGCCCCGGCTTCTCCTCAAGGCGCTCTCCGACTACCATCTCTGGCCAGTGTACGTAACGTGACGTGCTGTAGGGCATTCGTACGATGTACTAATTTTGTGGAACAGGTACATGATTGGCCTCTGTTTTCAGATGCCAATGGGGCCGCCGTCTCAATATCTGACGTTGAGGTAGGTTACACTGTCCCGCGTTTCTGTCATAACACGAGACATTAACACAACACAGTCTCAAGGGCCTTGGCTTCAGCACGTTCCAGACGAACCTCCTGGTGATTCCCAGCAACGTGCTGAAGATGATTACACTGTTGACGGTCACCCGGTTTGCCGGCTGGTCGCACAAGCTGGCATTCAACGGGATCATCGGGCAGGTGTGGGCGCTGCCCTGCCTCGTGGCGCTCTATGCGACAAACACGACGACCGAGAGCCGGTGGATTGTCTTTGCCATTGTCACCGTGCTCTTGGGCTACCCCAGCAACCACTCCGTGCAGGTCGGCTGGGTGTCGAGAAACGCCAACACGGTGCGGTCGCGCACGGTGTCCACGGCCGCGTACAACATGACGGTCCAGGCGTGCAGTGTCATTTACTCCAACATCTATCGGTCAGGTGAGTCCTGTGCTGTACCTCTGCTGTCCCTTTTGTTGCACTGTTTATCTAACGCGACCATAGATGACGCCCCTCGTTACCGGCGCGGCAACAGAAACCTCATCATCATCTGCATTAGCAACATATGTCTGTACCTGCTGGTGAACTTTTACTACAAATGGGAGAACAACCGACGAGACAAAATCTGGAACGCATGGACGCCGTCCGAGCGGGAGCACTACATCAAGACCACGAAAGACGAGGGCAACAAGCGGCTGGACTTTCGGTTTGAGTACTAAGTGCTGTGGACGGTGCTGTGGTGGGAAGACAGTGGAGAGTTTTTGTGTTTTCTTTTTTTCCGTGCAAGAGAACCAGCTAGAACTACATGTATCTACACCTAGAGAGCATACCGGAACGTGTCGTCCCCGTCGGCAAAGAAAGACTGAACAAAGACTGTCACTTCTTTGCAAACGCAATCGTCGCCTTCCCGACCATCTTGGCCGGAACGGACGGATACCACTCTCTCAAATCCTGCACCATCAATTCATGCGTCCGCACCACCTCCTCGTCCGTCATTTGTGCTACCATCCGCGCACTGGGAGGCATCTTGGTCAAGATGAAGCGACAAATCTCCGCATGGTCGTCAAAGGGCATGTAGCCCTCCGTCTCCACAACCTCAATGTCCTTGAACCCTGCCGTCGCCAGCTGCGCCTTGACCCCGTCCGTGGACGACCACGTGCTCGGCAGCGTCGGCATGCCCAAGTCCGGCCGCACTTTGGTCGGGTAGTATATTAGGTCCATCCACTGGCTGCTCGTCCATACGGACATGGCGAGCACCCCGCCCGGGGCCAGCGCGCGCTTCATCGCCTGTAGGGCCTGCGCCGGCGCGGGGACGAGAAACACCACAAAGCCCACAAACATATGACTGACGGCACCGTCGGAAAACGCGGCGTAGTCGGTGATGTAGGTGCTAGGCCGACAAAGGACGATGATTTTAACCTGTAAACCGTTACAGGCCGGCGTAAAGAACTTGTCTTATAGTACAAGAGTGTTATAATATACCGCGTCTTAACTACACTCACTCCGGATGTACAAATTATACAATCGTCTGGTCATTTAATCCTAACACTTGGCTGGGCGTACATCCTGTCCGTTCGTCTCCTGGAAATCCAGCGTCAACCTGTTGTGTACACACAAAATGCCTTACAGCCGTAGAACGCCACGGAAACGGTACGTTTACGACAACAAGGCCGGTTAGTCCTAGACTTGACCGGTAAAGGTATCTCGTCGTATCTTGTCCGGTGGTTGTGTACGTTACTGTCGTCACAGTTTAACTAGTAAGTAAAGGGGGTTTAGATAGTACCGTTATAAATATCGTTTTATACGGGTGGCGTTTTCTTTATTATAGTCGTCGACGTTAACGTTTTAAAGACCCCACCGTCGTCGTCGGTAAACGTTTCGACCCTTCTTACCGAATTTTATACCCTTTATAGTCTAAATACGGTAAATAAGTTAAACGATACGGTGATAATCTCGTCTATCACCGTAACATTTATAACCACGCTCACACTCCCTTTCTATCGATTATACGACTTATAACCCTAGTTTTCAGTACTATAGTTGTAGAAACGTAAACTTTATAAAGTCGAGAGACCGTTAACGTATATTAAACGATATATCGACGACTTAAATTATTTTATAACACTTAATATTAACCTACAGTCGGTGGTATTAGTCGTTTAAGGTGTCTTTTGGTAACCTAATATTAATACCAACTTAGTCAACCCCTAACTAGTCGGCACTCTAAATACCTTACGACCGACTTTAACGTCGTACAATATTATAAAACTAGTACAGGTCTTTACACTACGTCGACCGAGGGTTACTCTTTAATAACTTAGTATTTGTCTACTTAGTAACCAACGCGTTCTTGAGTGGGTGGCGCGGTATTTGGGGATATTAAGGGAGTAGGAAGGATATAGGTCGTTGGTCACGCCCGACATCACCGCGTTCGTTTAGACCGGCGTACGGTATACCTTTTCACACGCACCACCGCCGCGCCCTTATAAGGACAAGGGCCCGTCCCAACCGGTCTCACGGACAGACCTCTTGTGGCACCGGTTAAATTTTAACCTCTAAGAAGCGTCCTCGATCCCGTTAACTTAGTGTCCCTTTAGTAATATTCGTAAAAAATACATTAAGTTAAACATTTGGTTATGGTTCGAGTACGGGTACGAACGGCGGTACGTTACCTGGGTATGGTAGATTAAGATTAAAGACGAAGTCGTTCGTAACGAGGAGCGCGGCTTCTAGACCGACACGGGCCGAACCGTCCTAAACGTACCCGATCGTCTTAACCGCGACAGACGTCACCATACGTTAGGTAAGCCTTGTAACCTTAAAGTTAAACAACGTATACGTGACATCTGTTAACTCGTTATACGCCGTAACACATCTACGAAAAGACACACTAGCGCCACGGTAACAGTCGTTAAACTCGAGCCGTTAATAGAAGCGACGTTACGGATGGTTAGTTTTTATAGGGCGGATATACGGGACGAACAAGACATCCGTTCACATAAGTGGCTACGCGGGTGGGAAGGCTTTAAGTAAAAATACAATTGATATTTAAAGAAGCTTAATCGGGTAGTACTCTCAAAATTACACGAACCATTTTTTCCAATTACTTCCTTTATATTTCCCCTTACGCCCTTTATCTTTACCCTTACTACCCGACGTTATAAGGTGACCTGTGATATCGTCCGTCCAAATCTACCAACCCGACTTAAACGTGTGTAGGAAATAGGTGCCTTCTTCCGTTACATACTTTTCCCAACTTTCTAACCTCGTCTTGTATTTTTCTTTATTAAAAAGTTCGAACTAGATATACTTCCCGTTATTGTCGACCTCCACGTATAACGGGCCATCTACTGATACATTTCCCTCTCCGCCGTCGGGGTATAGTTGAAATACCGAACTACCTTCGCCTATGCTGTCCCCGAGACTGGCCACAACCATCGATCTAGTCAGACCTGATACCGAATCTTGCGCCGCATCCAGCACGATCGGGTCGATGGAGTCGTTGGAGAAGCTGCGAACATACTGTACCTCGTTTTGCCCCCTTTTTTTTACTTTCCTTTTGCTTTCAGCCGTCGTAGGTAGAGCAGTGGTGTCGAGAATCGCAATCGGATCGTCAGACGAGTCTAACAGATGTTCGTGATAAACCTGTATTGCTTCCTAAATAAACATAAATTGCGGGGAGTTAGTAGTTGACTCTAGAAAGAACAGACCGATATTCGGATCGACGGCGGACGAGGACGCTCACATACAGCTCCCGCATCACTAGTAAAACTAACGCCCGCAAGTGTGTTCTCTTCGTCGTAATTAGAGGCGTGGATTGATTCGCTCTCCAGTGGTCGATACCCAGGATGATCTAACCGATGCTTATGGGGCTGTAACAAAGTGGCGGCCCGGGCCTTCGCCGGGTAGAAATCGTCACCGCAGTTACATGGCAAGAAACAAATGCGGTAGCCGCGTGTATCGTCGCCGGTGCCATGCGAATTGGCCTGGCAAATAACGATTCGTTTTTTGCACTTCTTGCACTTGGAATCCCTGGTAGCCGTGTGGCCGTCCATGGGATGGCCGCAGTGCATGCAAAAGCCCTTGTCGCCGGACGAGGTCGTTCATAAATATTTTTCTCCCTGAACACAAACTAATTAGAAAATTGTGGAGTTTATAATAAATAGAACAATAGGCTACCAGACCGCAAAGTGACGGAGGAATAGCTTCCTTTATTATGACTTTTATCTTTTGTGAGGCTCGATAAACAGGTCCCTTTAAACGAAGGCAATAAGGCCTCAAGTTACATCCGAGAACGAGCAACACCAGCATGTTCTTGTAGAAAAGGCCGTAGTGTGGAAAGTGGAAGCTCAGTCATCCGCCATGCATTCCTGCCGCTCCACAGGTATGAAAATGCAGAAAATACGCTGCAACCTAGTAGGGTGCTAAAGGATGGGACGATCAGACTTGGCCATTTGTCGAGGATAGAGGCCTCCATTTCGTGCATAAACCACTGATATCTCCCGATACTAAACCACCGGCGGTATAGTCAGTAGAGGCCGGTGTGATAGCATAGGCAAGAGAGAACCTTCTCGTGGATGACTGTGGCGCCTATCGTACGGTGGTTAGGTAGGGCGCGGGGGGGGGTGACTCTTGTGGTATTACCATGCGACCGTGAGAAGAGCCCTCTGGTCGGTTCAAGAGACAAATGGCGGCATCTTGGGCAGCAATGCTGGAGCAGCCTCGACCCAGCCCCTTCCTCGAATCCCTGAGGCTACGATTGGCGGGCCGCCGCCACACCACCTCACCAGTGTGGTTGGGTGAGCAGGCGCCTCAAATGTGTAAGCACTTCAAGCTTCAAGAAGTCGAAATGTGTATCCGCAACATACAGAAGCAGAAAAACAACGTAATCTCGTCCAGCTGATTTTCACTGTTGTGAACATGTATGATGGTTTTCAGCAAGCAGAATACCGCAGAGATAAGGTATGGCCAATTGTATTAATATTGTTAGGAGACAAACAAGAGACCGATGCTAGCAACGATCATCGCCATATACGCCGTTATCGAAACGATATGAAACATGGCGACGGCTCGTTTGTGATGTAGGCGACAATGTCAGCCGTGGGGTGAAAAGTGATACCCGAATAGCTTGACAGCGTGGGGCCGGGGCAACAGTTCCTCGTCTCGTAGTGGTGGCGGTAGAGCGAGTCGTTGAGGTTGCGGGCCAAATCGTGGGCGGGGGCAACGAGGTAGTTGTTGAGGGCGGCAGGTGCCGGCGTAGGAAAAACACAACCAGCCCGTACGTCTCCCAAGACACGACGGCGCGGTCGACGAGGTGGCGTGGAAGGGCGCGGCGGCCGCTGCTGCGGTGTAGGCTAGACCGAACGGGGGGCCACTTAAAGCAACTGGTAGAAGCTGGTGAAAGAGCTGTAGTAGCAACAACAACAAAAAGGAGGAGAGTGGCTTAATTTCTTCTATCGAAAAGAATGGTGATGAAGCTAAAAGTTCTGAGATACCTCTTGAGAAGGGCGGAGAGGGGGCAAACCCCCAAAGGTGGGTGGGATTTGCCCCTTGGCCGCCCCACTAAAAAGTCATAACAAACCACTCGCTCTTTCCACTAACGTGGGCTGGTAGGTGCACCCCCCTCCCCCGAACACTGGCTTCATCACGGCGAAGTGAAGGACCTTGGCTACCAGTAAATGCGAGTGAAAAACAAGGGGAGCGCGCACAATGTGCAGGGCGGTGCGGGACGAAGCGAAGTAGCGGTGGTGACGGTGATACTGTGTTGCTGGTGGCGTTGTTGACGTTCTTGTTCTTGCTGGCGCTGGTGATGTTAGTGTTGGTGTCGGTGGTTGGAACAAAAAGAGAAAAACGAAAGAAAAAAACGTCGATTCACGTACATATGAGAAAAACAATTAAACAATTGGCCTTTACAAAAAGCTAGGCCCGTCTATTTATCAAAGCCGGGGTATTGTCGACGCAAGCGACCGCCAACCGTGCAGACGGCCTTCGGCCCAGCCAGGGAGTGTACGGCCATGTCCTTTAGCCGTTTCGCGACGCAGCGGTGTTTGTATTGGGAACACAAATGGGCCCCGCCAGACCAGGCGTCCGTGGCGAGGCTTGCTGCAAGTCAACCGTGGCTGGCGGCGAGAAGGTGCGGTGACGTTTTCCGGGTGTATCACGCGTGCCCATCAAATAAGGCAGTGTTTTAGTGCCCGCGATCTGCGTGCACTAGGGCAGCAAGCCAAACATCGCCGGTCTGCCTGCTAGACCGCCACAACATGCTCAATGGCCGCAGGGAGCGCAGGCAGGCCCGTCGACACAGATGTGGACACTTTGTTGTCGTACTGGTCCAGCGCCGC